CCATCAAATGTTTATATGTGACGCGGATCGCGAAGAGACAACATTCACAATGACACATGGTACTGACGCTGGATCCTCGGATCAGAAGCCGAGGAGGCCATGCTGGCAGGTTCCTCTCACCCTGGAGGAGCGCGTCTAATCACGCGCAAGTGGAAAGTGGAAAGCCGAAAGCCAAAGAAACGGGTCGTTGATGGCCGTCGCTGATTCGAGTGTAAAAGCATCCGTAGCTGATTTCCGACGTATTCCTATCACGAAGGACACAAGGCTTCTGCTCATGGTGGCAGGATTCAACCTCGGTCTATTCGACTGTGTGTCGAAGCGGCACGGAGTGGCACATGAAAAGGAAGCTTGTTGACCAGTACCTTCTGAACTGGCGTCGCTGATCTCGGATTCCGGCCATGGCCTTCCCTGTCGGGACCAGCCCAGCCCAGCCCAGCCACTGCAAGATCAAGCACGTATCGGATGAGATATTTTGCTCGAAGGTTGATACAGGTGATCATGGGCATTTGGCAAATAATTGAGCCGAAAAGGTGTCGGCAGTTGTGCACTGTACAGCTTGAAGGGCCGAAGCCTGGTGGATCAACGGATAAGACACCCCCATGGGTTGTCGGAGACCCCCATGATGTGCAACAGAACCCCCCCTTCAATCTAACGAGACGGCCTCAGTCATTGAATATGGTTGGAAGACGGCGAAATTTGCACAAAGTCAACGTTTGGCTTATGGGGGTGCATAATTGTAGGAACATGAAGACGTTCAACAGAACGTTTGGGCTCACTTGGACGACACCGCCGTTGGTCCCGTCCCTCATTAGTCTCATAACTTAGGCGCAGTGTTTGCTAAGTTTTGTCATCCCAACGGAAAAAGCCCGTTTCTCTCTGGAAAGTTCAATCCATCTGCGCGATCCTGTCTGTTACCACGGCATCAGTTTTGACCAAGAGGTCAGATGCTGAGCCCACGATAGCGACTAAATCGGGACGATGGAGAGGAAATGGGAAACGGACCAGGACGAAGTCGAAGGCCTCTCCTCTCCACCTAGCCTTATGCCTTTTTTTGTGAA